TTGATCTAGATCAGTTCTAACATGTTGTAGAAGCATCTAATCGGAAAAAAAGCCACATAACTTCTAAAATTCAAGTAATAGAGATTTGTTGTCTTAGACAAAGCTATTCAGGTGAATAACTGCTATTTTTTGACATCATTTGTTTCGATCTAGATCACTGTTTTATGATCTAGATCAGCTCTATCTTTTGAAGAAGCACGCTATTAAAACAAAATCTTCGAAAACATTTTCCAGATAGATAAGGCTATCCTTTGATAACATAATAACTGACCTTGGTTACTAAATTTAGATCTAGATCAGTTCTATCGGTTTTGTAGAAGCATCTTGGCGGAGAAAACCACATAACTCCTAAAATTCAAGTAATAGAGGTTTCGTGTCTTCAGCAAAGTTGTTTAGGTGAATAACAGAAATCTTTTCGCATCATTTTTTTCGATCTAGACCACTGTATTATGATCTAGATCAGCTCTATCTTTTGAAGAAGCACGCTATTAAAACAAAATCTTCGACAACATTTTCCAGATAGATAAGGCTATCCTTCGATAACATTAGAACTGACCTTGGTTACTTAATTTAGATCTAGATCAGTTCTATCGGTTTTGTAGAAGCATCTTGGCGGAGAAAACCACATAACTCCTAAAATTCAAGTAATAGAGGTTTGGTGTCTTGAGCAAAGTTGTTAAGGTGAATAACAGAAATCTTTTCGCATCATTCCTTTTGATCTAGATCACTATATTATGATGAAGATTAGCTCTATCTTTTGAGGAAGCACGCTATTAAAACAAAATCTTCGACAACATTTTCCAGATAGATAAGGCTATCCTTTGATAACATAAGAACTGACTTTGGTTACTTAATTTAGATCTAGATCAGTTCTATCGGTTTTGTAGAAGCATCTTGGCGGAGAAAACCACATAACTCCTAAAATTCAAGTAATAGAGGTTTGATGTCTTCAGCAAAGTTGTTTAAGTGAATAACAGAAATCTTTTCACATCATTTCTTTTGATCTAGATCACTATATTATGATCAAGATTAGCTCTATCTTTTGAGGGAGCACGCTATTAAAACAAAATCTTCGACAACATTTTCCAGATAGATAAGGCTATCCTTTGATAACATTAGAACTAACCTTGGTTACTTAATTTAGATCTAGATCAGTTCTATCGGTTTTGTAGAAGCATCTTGGCGGAGAAAACCACATAACTCCTAAAATTCAAGTAATAGAGGTTTGGTGTCTTCAGCAAAGTTGTTAAGGTGAATAACAGAAATCTTTTCGCATCATTCCTTTTGATCTAGATCACTATATTATGATGAAGATTAGCTCTATCTTTTGAGGAAGCACGCTATTAAAACAAAATCTTCGACAACATTTTCCAGATAGATAAGGCTATCCTTTGATAACATAAGAACTGACTTTGGTTACTTAATTTAGATCTAGATCAGTTCTATCGGTTTTGTAGAAGCATCTTGGCGGAGAAAACCACATAACTCCTAAAATTCAAGTCATAGAGGTTTGGTGTCTTCAGCAAAGTTGTTTAGGTGAATAACAGCAATCTTTTCGCATCATTCCTTTTGATCTAGATCACTATGTTTGGATGTAGATCAGTTCTATATTTTGAGGAAGCACGCTATTAAAACAAAATCGTCAAATAGGTTTTCAAGATAGATAAGAGCTCTATTTTGATATAATTAGAACTGACCTTGATTAGAAATGTTGATCTAGATCAGTTCTAACATGTTGTAGAAGCATCTTATCGGAAAAAGCCACATAACTTCTAAAATTCAAGTAATAGAGATTTGGTGTCTTAGACAAAGCTATTCATGTGAATAACTGCTATCTTTTGACATCATTTGTTTCGATCTAGATCACTGTATTATGATCTAGATCAGCTCTATCTTTTGAAGAAGCACGCTATTAAAACAAAATCTTCGACAACATTTTCCAGATAGATAAGGCTATCCTTCAATAACATAAGAACTGACCTTGGTTACTTCATTTAGATCTAGATCAGTTCTATCGGTTTTGTTGAAGCATCTTGGCGGAGAAAACCACATAACTCCTAAAATTCAAGTCATAGAAGTTTGGTGTTTTCAGCAAAGTTGTTTAGGTCAGCAATCTTTTCGCATCACTCATTTTGATCTAGATCACTATATTTGGATGTACATCAGCTCTAAATTTTTAGGAAGCACGCTATTAAAACAAAATCGCGAACTAGGTCTTGCAGATAGATAAGAGCTATCTTTTGATATAATTTAAACTGACCTTGATTACGAAATGTTGATCTAGATCAGTTCTAGCATATTAAAGATACTTATATCTAACAAAACCACATAACTCCTAAAATTCAAGTGATAGAGATTTGGTGTCTTAGACAGAGCTATTGAGGTGAATAACAACTATCTTTTGACATCATTTATTTCGATCTAGATCACTATATTATGATCTAGATCATTTCTATCTTTTGAAGAAGCACGCTATTAAAACATCAGCTAGGTTTTCCAGATATATAAGAGCTATACCATTAAAACACAAAATCTTCGACAACACTTTCAAGAGCTATCATTTGATAACATTAGAACTGACCATGATTACTAAATTTTGATCTAGAACAGTTGTATCATGTTGTAGAAGCATCTTTCGGATAAACTCGCATAACTCCTAAAATTCAAGTCATAGAGGTTTGTTTTCTTGGACAAAGTTGTTCAGGTGAATAACAGCTATCATTTAACATCATTCGTTTTCATCTGATCTAGATCAGCTCTATGTTATGAGGAAGCACGCTATTAAAACAAAATCGTCAGCTAGATTTTCCAGATAGATAAGAGCTATCTTTTGACAGCCATGAGAACTGACCTTGATTAATAAGTTGTGATCTAGATCAGTTCTATCTTTTTTTTAGAAGTATCATGTCGAACAAAACCTCGTAACTCCTGAAATTCAAGGCATAGAGGTTTGGTGCTTTGAATAAAGTTGTTCAGGTGAATAACGGCTACCTTTTGACATCATTCGTTTTAATCTAGATCACTATGTTATGATCTATATCAGCTGTATATTGTGAAGGAGCACTCAATTAAAACAAATTCGTCAACTATGTTTCCAGATAGATAAGAACTATTCTTTGATACCATTAGAACGTATTTTGATTGCTTAATTTTGATCTAGATCAGTTCTATAATTTTTAAGATGGTTTGTTTCGTAAAAAAACCACATACCTCCTAAAATTTAAGTCGCAGAGGTTTGGTGTCTTACCCAAAGTTGTTCAGGTGAATAATAGCGATCATTTTACATCATTTGTTTTGATCTAGATCACTATATTTTGATCTAGGTCAGCTCTATCTTATGACGAAGCCCTCAATTAAACCAAAATCGTCAACAAGGTTTTCCAGAGCTATCTTTTGATACCATTAGAACTGGCCTTGTTTACTAAATTTTGATCGAGAACAGTTGTATCATGTTGTAGAAGCATCGTATCGTTCAAAACCACATAACTCCTAAAATTGGTGTCTTGAGCAAAGTTGTTAAGGTGATTAACAGCAATCTTTTGACATCTTTCTTTTTGATCTATGTTGCTATATTTTGATCTCGATCAAATTGATAGCATTAGAACTAATCTAGATATCTTATTTTTTTTATCTAGATCAGTTCTATCTTTTGATAGAATCATCTTATCGAAACAAAACCTTTAGGAAAAAAATTACATTATAAATATTGAAGTTAATTATTAAATTTTGATCTAGATCAGTTCTATCTTTTATTCACATAAAGGCAATTAATTATTTATGTTCAATTTACGTTTGAATGAAAAGCAATTAATCTAATTTTCGAATAGAAAATACAGCTTGTAAAATTTGGGTAAATTTCTGTTACATATGATGCACATATATAGAGCGTCAAATAGCATACACGTTAACATTATAGATCATGTAAAGTTATGAGACATTTAATGGAATATTATAACTATTGTTAGCACTATTTCTTTCAAGTTGGTAGTTTACGTGATAAGAAATACAAGCTTACATGCATCCCAACTAACAATTTAGGTTTTATCATGGTTTTGAAGAGGTTTATAAAGCTTAAAATGAACTTGAAGACCATCATAAAACCGGAAATGTTGCTTGGGATGGATGTTTACCTCACCTGTATTACTAAGATTTTTTCTGTGTCATAGCTGTCATACAGTTTGGAGGAACGGTTTCAAGCCCAAAGGTAATATAAAGATTGATAAAGATTCAAATTACAACGGTGCCTATAAATTCCGACATGTGCTTTGCCGTAGACCTGAACCCAGCAACTTCTACTGACTTCACTTTTCTTGCGAGCAGCAACTCCACCCTCGGATACAACCGCGAGCATTGGCTCATCACATAATCCAATTCGCCTCCCCTAAGCCGCCACATTTTTCGCAAACCGAGCACCAGGCAGGCACGGGCACTCGCCTCATGTTCGCAAGCTAGCTCAAACAGCTGATCGAACTTATTCCATTAAGTGCCAATTTGGTTGGGTAATTTTCCCGCCACTTCTGTACCGTACTGTGCTGCTCTTCTGGTTGTTGTTATGATTGTTGTTACGGTTTTGTTGTTTTCCGCAAAGCACACCCTTTCCGCAACACCTCCAGCGAGCATTCAAAACAAGACCCTCATCCACACACGTGCAACCGATTGTCTCGTGTGCGCTGTCGGTGGCAGTCGCATTTTTCACGATCATTACGTTTCGCTTCGTTTTCAGGGAAGGTAGGTCTAATAAATGAGCCATTTATCGCAAATTGGAGGTAATTTTTCCCATCACGGTAATTAGAAGAGGGTTTTTCTCAGCAGTACCATTACCAGTCAGCGGAGGGCAGTTAAACCGAACTACCAATAGGGGGGAGGGGGTAAAAAAATACGAGAGACATGACAATTCGAACCCGGACCGCGTGATCCACATGATTTTTGGGCGATTAGCCACTCTAGACGCGATGGCGTTGTTATAAGAAGAAGAAGAAGAAGAAGGTCAAAACACTCACCCGTCGCTTCCGTGGCAGATCCTCGTTGTAGTCCATTCCGATGCCTTCGTCCGAGGTGGAGATCGATGTGGTCCGGGGGCCGCGAATCACAATGTCATTGGTGGTACCGTTGGTGTTGGCAGTGTTGTTGTTGTTGTTGTTGTTGTTGATGGTGATATTGTTGTTGTTGTTGTTGTTGTTGTTGTTATTAGTATTGTCCGGTGGACTACTGCCATTGCTATTGATTCCGCTACTGCTGCTACTGCTGGTGCTGCTGCTGCTGCTGTTGGTGCTGTTCGGTGACGTGGAAAGTCCATCCTCGCTGAGTGGCGGCGTGGTCGAACCGGTGCTCCACGATGTGCTGCTACTGCCGGAGCTGGTTCCCAAGATGGTTTCCCAACCTGCGAGATTAGAAATGAAAAGATTAGAGTTAGAAAGGCCGTATCAAACTGTGCTATTGGCACTATCATACGGACACTAGTGCTACCTAGTGGCAGAATATTCTCTATAGAATGCTTTATAGTCCATTAGAATTGAAATGGTATTCACTTCAGAATGGTTCTGGAATCTTACTCAGAATTGTCTTAAAACTTTCTAGAAATTTCCATTCAAATTTTGCCCAACTTTATCATTTAATGTTTTCCAAAAAAATCAATGAAATTCACAACAGCATTGTCTTGAAATACTCTTCCAAGTTCTCTTGGAACTATTCCCAGAACTTCATTGTAACTTTCCTACAAATTATCTTGAAATTTCTTTTGAACTATGCTTAGAACTGCTTTGAAGTACTCTTTACAAAGGTCTCCTAAAATCCCTTGAAACATTCCTAAAAATTTCCTTCTTCTCCAGAATTCCATTAGAATTATCTTCAGAAATCGGTATTCTTAGATTTCTTATTAGTATTCCTTTAATTTATCCTCAGAATTCCATATAAATTTGCTTAATCCTTCATAAATTCTCATCAGAACACCATTGATTTCTCCTTAACATTCACCTGTAACTCAAATCACAATCAATATTCCTTTCATAATATTGGAATGTCCTAAGGATGGACTTAACTTGTTAAGATATTCGAGGTTCTGATCAATTGGGGGGGTTAGAAGAAAAGAGGTGTAAGTGACTTTGATCGATTCTCTTAATCGACTTTCTCTTTCGTTAATAATTTAGCTGCAAACACATTCCTTGATTCGTGTGCCATTCTGGACGCTAGATGAGAACCTCCTTTGTCAAACTATGTGGCAGGAATAGCGCAAAATCTGTTTATAAAGCTGTGGCTATCAAAAGAGAAAGTCGATGAAGAGAATCGATCAAAGTCACTTACACCCCTTTCCTTCTAACCCCCTCAATTCTGAATGTGACAATATCATCCTGAGGGTGTCCGGCCATTAGGCAGAATAGTTAAATAAATTTTGACGAGCTTCCTTACACAGTTATGTTTTTAAGATTCTAAACACTTGTTCTGACTATTTGGACGTTCCAGAATCTTGGAGATTTCTCCATGTTCGGCATATTTTAGAATAAAACTACGTCTTGAAGATTTTTCTTAACCCAGGATCGTAAAATTTTCTAAACATAAAATCTCAAAATTGGTAATTTTGTAAAAACATTCCAAATCCTGATCGGAATTATTTTGATACGCTTGGAAATCTTTACAGGATTTCATCAGTATTTTCTGAAGAATTTGATCTCAGAATACCCTCAGAGTTCATCTCAGACCTCTTTCTGGTATTTTATTATAATTTGCTTCATAAAAATCATCTGCAGAGCACTCTTTGAATTCAATCTGCAATGATCTTAAAATTACAAAATAATTTATGCAGTATTACCTAGGAATTCCCCGAGCTTAATTTTAAGATCATTGCAGATTGAATTCAAAGAGTGTTCTGCAGATGATTTTCAAGAATATTATGAAGCAAATTATAAGAAAATACCAGAAAGAGATCTGGAAAAATTTCACTAGAAGCTTTCCTTAGCATTCACTTTGTATTCTCCATAAATTCATATGGAATTTTTCTAGGATTTTCGGGGCTTCCCTGTAGTAACTGGAACGGCCCTTAAGATCTCTGAACTTCAATATTGTTCTCAAAATCTAAATTTCTCAGAGCTTTTTAAAGATTAACGCAATTTTCCTGAAGCCAATTGAACTATTATGAAGTTGTTTGATCTATCCTGAATCTACCACAATTTTTCGGATGTTTTCGATACTACTCATGGAACTTCCATTAAAGTCTCGAAACTTCCCTGAAGTTTCCTAAATTTTAAAGAAATTCTTGAATTTTTCGGAACTTCTCAAGCATTCCAACAATTTTCTTACAATTCATGAAACTTACTTGAAGACCCCATTTATTTAAAGAAATTTTCAGAACATTCCTGAAATTCTCGGAATATTCCATAATTCTTCGGACTGCACTGAAGATCTTTGGTCTTCCTTGAAATGCTTGCAACATCAGTGAAAATAATGAAATTTCTTAAAAATCCTCTAAAAATTCCTCTAAAATTCTCTGATCTTCTTTGAAGATGTCGGAGCTTTTCTGAGTTTCCTGGAACTTCTGTAAAGTTCCTGTAATTGCCTTGAAGTGAATTGAACTACCCTGAGTCCACGTTTCATCCATCTATTGGATTCTGAAGCATCGTGTTTAAATCTTAGATTTGAACAGGCTCGATGTTTTCTGAATCATCTTGCCCCTTAAATGCTGCACAGTAGGCCTGGCCGTTTTGATATGTGTGACCCATAGATTCAATATACTACATGAACTCAACAACTTTGTTCTGGAAAAGTTTGGAAAAACATCCAAACGAGTAGTCCCATTACATAAGAAGCAGTGGTACGATGCTAACTTAAAACGTGTTTTTCTCAGCTTGCTGATATGTGCTATGGGACGGACTTGCCACGAGCGGCAGTCTAAACTTCTTTCTGTGAAGTATCCAACATTTTCCTTCTTCCCTAAATTTCCTAATGTTCTCTAGACTGTCATTTTTTCTTTGAAACTTCTTGAAGGTTCTCGCAAAGTCAAAATTCACCAGAAGTTCTCGGAATTTCCATGAACATCTCATGATTTTCCCGATAATCATGAAACTTCATTGAATTGTCAGAACTGCTTGAAGTTATGCAACTTACCTTAAGATCTTTAAGATCAACTGAAGTTTTTTTTTTGTAACGGAAGTTTCTGCAATTTTTCTGAAATTAATAGAACTGCTCTGAAGCTCTTGGATCTTCACTGGAATTCTCGAAACTTTCCTGAAATCTATGGAACTGCCCTGAAGCTATCGGAACCTAGCTTAAAGATCTTAAAACGTCCATGTTGTTCCGAACGTTCTGGAAGATCTAGATGTTTTTGGAACTCCCTTTAAATTCTTGGGATTTCGATCTTCCAAAATTCAGATCTTCCAGAAGGTTCTCGCATTTTTTCTGATGTTAATAGAACTAACGTAGAGATTTTAAAAAAATCAAAAAAATTTGGAACTTCATTAGAGCTCCCACAATTTAACTGAAGTTCATGGGACATTATTATGAAGTTAATCGGACGCACCTGATGTTCTCAGAATTTTCCTGAAGTTTCCTCAAGTTTTAATTTTTTACGGATGTTCATGGAACTTGCATGAAATTCTCAGAACTTTGCCGAAGCTCTCTGAATTTTCCTACAGGTCTTTGAACTTACCAGAAGTTTTCTGAAGTTTCTTAAAGGTCTTGAAAATTTGCTGGAATTTTCTTTAAGTTAATGTAACTGTCGTGAAGTTCTCTGATCTTCATCTAAGTTCAAGAAAATTTCTAAAAGTTCAAAGAAATGAACTGAATTTCTCGGAACCAACCTGTTCAAATCTTCGCTTCGGATTTTCACTAAAGTGAACATCACTAAAGTGAACATCACTATAGTGAACATCACTATAGTGAACATCACTTAAGTGAACATCATCGTTCATCTAAGTTCACGAACATTTCCACAAGTTCATAGAACTGAACTGAATTTCTCGGAACCAACCATTTAAAATCTTTAATCTTCCCCCAAAGTTCTGGACTGTAGTTCTTTGAACATTACTGAAGTTTTTTAAACTTCTATGAACGATTCGGATTTTCACTCAAGTGAACATCGCTAAAGTGAATATCACTAAATTGAACATCACTAAATTGAACATCACTAAATTCAACATCACTAAATTGAACATCACTAAATTGAACATCACTAAAGTGAACATCACTAAAGTGAACATCATTAAAGTGAACATCACTAAAGTGAACATCACTAATGTGAACATCACTTAAGTGAACATCACTTAAGTGAACATCACTTAAGTGAACATCACTAAAGTAAACATCTTTAAAAACATCACTAAAGTAAACATCACTAAAGTGAACATCGCTAAAGCGAACATCACTAAAGTTCATCCAAGTTCACGAACATTTCCAAAAGTTCATAAAACTGAACTGAATATCTCAGAACCAACCCTTCAAAATCTTTAATCTTCCCCCATAGTTCTGGACTGTAGTTTTTGGAACATTACTGAAGTTTTTGAAACTTCTCTGGACGCTTGGGATTTTCACTAAAGTGAACATCACTAAAGTGAACATCACTAAAGTGAACTTCACTAAAGTGAACACCAATAAAGTTTCCAAAAGTTAATAGAACTTAACTGAATTTCTCGGAACCAACCCTTGAAGATCTTTAATCTCTTCCAAACTTCTGGACTGTCGTTCTTGGAACATTACTGGTGTTTTTGAAACTTTTCTGAACGCTTCGGATTTTCACTAAAATGAACATAATTAAAGTGAAAATCACTAAAGCGAAAAGCACAAAAGTGAACATAAGTAAAGTGAACATCAATGAAGTGAACATCACAAAAGTGAACATCATCGGATTTTCAGTAAAGTGAACATCACTAAATTGAACATCACTAAATTGAACATCACTAAATTGAACATCACTAAATTGAACATCACTAAAGTGAACATCACTAAAGTGAACATCACTAAAGTGAACATCACTTAAGTGATGTCACTAAATTGAACATCACTAAATTCAACATTACTAAATTGAACATCACTAAATTGAACATCACTAAAGTGAACATCACTAAAGTGAACATCACTTAAGTGACCATCATTAAAAACATCACTAAAGTAAACATCACTAAAGTGAACGTCACTAAAGTTCATCCAAGTTCACGAACATTTCCAAAAGTTCATAAAACTGAACTGAATATCTCAGAACCAACCCTTCAAAATCTTTGATCTTCCCCCAAAGTTCTGGACTGAAGTTTTTGAAACTTCTCTGGACGCTTCGGATTTTCACTAAAGTGTATATCACTAAATTGAACATCACTAAATTCAACATCACTAAATTGAACAAAAAGTGAACGTCACTAAAGTTCATCCAAGTTCACGAACATTTCCAAAAGTTCATAAAACTGAACTGAATATCTCAGAACCAACCCTTCAAAATCTTTGATCTTCCCCCAAAGTTCTGGACTGAAGTTTTTGAAACTTCTCTGGACGCTTCGGATTTTCACTAAAGTGTATATCACTAAATTGAACATCACTAAATTCAACATCACTAAATTGAACATCACTAAATTGAACATTACTAAATTGAACATCACTAAAGTGAACATCACTAAAGTGAACATCACTTAAGTGATGTCACTAAATTGAACATCACTAAATTCAACATCACTAAATTCAACATCACTAAATTGAACATCACTAAAGTGAACATCACTTAAGTGAACATCATTAAAAACATCACTAAAGTAAACATCACTAAAGTTCATCCAAGTTCACGAACATTTCCAAAAATTTCATAAAACTGAACTGAATATTTCAGAACCAACCCTTCAAAATCTTTAATCTTCCCCAAAGTTCTGGACTGTAGTTTTTGGAACATTACTGAAGTTTTTGAAACTTCTCTGAACGCTTCGGATTTTCACTAAAATGAAAATATTTAAAGTGAAAATCACTAAAGTGTTATTCACAGAAGTGAACATCACTAAAGTGAACATCAATAAAGTGAACATCACAAAAGTGAACATCACAAAAGTGAACATCACAAAAGTGAACATCACAAAAGTGAACATCACAAAAGTGAACATCACAAAAGTGAACATCATCGGATTTTCAGTAAAGTGAACATCACTAAAGTGAACATCACTAAAGTGAACATCACTTAAGTGAACATCATTAAATTGAATATCACTAAAGTGAACATCACTAATATGAACATCGCTAAAGCCAACATCACTAAAGAGCACTAAAGTTCATCTAAGTTCTCGAACATTTCCAAAAGTTAATAGAACTTGACTGAATTTCTCGGAACCAACCCTTTAAGATCTTTAATCTTCCCCCCAAAGTTCTGGACTGTAGTTCCTGGAACATTACTGAAGTTTTTGAAACTTCTCTGAACGCTTCGGATTTTCACTAAAGTGAACATCACTAAGGTGAACATCACTAAGGTGAACATCACTTAAGGAACTGTGATATAAGAAAGAAGTTGGGGTCATGAAATAAACATGGACCCTGATAGCCATGAGACTGTCCTCTGAAAGATCCAAAACATCCGTAAAAGTGGTCAATTCATGAAACTGATCCTAGAGTTCTACGTTTTTTTCGAATGCATTTGAAACTGTGATATGATAAAGAATTTGGGGGTCATCACATAAATATGGACCCGGATGGCAATGAGGCCGTCCTCTGGTAGGTCCGGAACATCCGGAAAAGAGGTCAACCAATCAAACTGATCCTAGAGCTCCGCAATTTTGTTTTTCAAAAACATTAGCAACTGTGATATAAGAATTTGGGGTCATGGCATAAACATGTACCTGCATAGCCATGGGATCGTTGTCTGGAAGATCTGGAACATCCGAAAAATGGTCAATCCATAAAACTGATCCTTGAGCTCCACGGTTTTTTTTTTCTCGAAAACACGTGGAACTGTGATATAAAAAATAATAATTTGGGGTCGTAACATAAACATGAACCCGAATGACCATGAAACCGTCTTCCGGAAGATCCGTAAAAGTGGTGCATCAATGATACTGATTCTAGAGCTTGGCGGTTTTCTCGAGAACACTTCAAACTGTGAAGTTTTCGAAATCAAGGTTTTTTTGTATGAAACACTTTTACAGATGTTCTGGATCTTCCGAATGACGGTCCAATGGCCATCCAGGGTCATGTCTATGTCACGATCCCAAATTCATGCTTATACCACAGTTCCTAATGTTTTGTTGACATAAACTGCGGGGCTGTAGGATCAGTTTCATGGATTGACCACTTTTACAGATGTTTCTGATCTTCCAGAGATCGGTCCCAGTTCCCACCCTAATTGTTTTCTTATATCACAGTTCCAAGATATTAGAAAAAAAAACTGCTGAGCTCTAGAATCAGTTTCATGGATGAACCAATTTCATCGATGCTCCGAATCTTCCGACGGCCGGTTCCATAGCCATCCGGGTCCAGATTTATGTCATGATCCCAAATCCTTTCTTATGTCACAGTTCCTAATGTTTTCGAAAAAAACCACGGAGCTCTACGATCAGTTTCGTGGATTGACCAACTTTACGGATGTTCCGAATCTTCCGGAGGACCGTTTCGTTGTCTCCAGGATCCATATATAGGAACCATGACTGTATTCTGGCTGATTATGAACATTTGTGCCCATTAATCTAATTTATCACTCCTATAAACAGTGTTAGGGAAACCACTTTTGTTGCAGGCAATCGGTGATAATTTTGATCACATTTGCAATGTTCAATAGTGACCTATTGAAAATTGATAAAGTGTTCATTTTAGCAGATTCGTAGAAAAATTTCCAATCGATTGGCTTGTTTAGAATAAAAATCCATCCGCTATCGACAGAGTTATAAGTGGTCAAAACCTGACCACATTTCGTAACGCGGTTGATTTAGGTTTTTTTTTTGAAAGACGAAAAGACGTAATCTTACGTCAAAAAAACGTGTAACGACTCGTTTCGCTTGTGAATAAAGTAGGCGACCCTATTTTTAATCTATTTCCAATCAAAATAATCTACAGACCCTAGGAATTCTAGACGCATGAAATTCATCAATAAATGGCTAAGTTATGCTATTGCAAATTTGCTGTAAATTTGTATTCGGATAGTTAAAAAGTGGCAAATCTAGCAAACGCTTGCAACTTACCCGTCACGGAAGAGTTCGGCGAACAGGACAGACTCATAAGTACCAGGGCAGCGTTGCATTCGTCCATCGGGTCGTCGTCGTTAATACTGTAATATTCCCGGTCGTCCTGTGAGTATGAGGGGCGTCGTTTACGAGATCTGCAAAGTAAGACGGAGAAAAAGAAGCATGAGCAAAATTAAATTCATCAAATGCATTGTGTTTAATCAGTTGCAACCGTTGCGCCTATTATCGGCGGAAACACTTTCTACTAACAAACGATGAAGACGATGGCGAAGGTGCAAAGGTGTTGTTCCCAATATTTTACTGCAGTTGGCTTTGTTACGATTTGGTTTTGTTTTTGTTGTTTTCCACTCACATGCACCTTTTACTGATTCTCGCTTCAAGTTCAATGCATTATCGGTCAGTCACTTTTGTTTCAACGTCGCTCACTGCGCCTCCGGCGCGCCTATTAGTGGTAGTAGTAGTAGCTTAGTAGCAGCAGCAGTTAGTTACTTCTGCAACCATAACTGGACAACAGAAAAACGAAACGGTTTCTTTGTCTTGCTGCGGCGGTTTTAGACGGTGAAGGAGGGGGGGTGGAGGGAGAGAAGTGGGCTCTCGGTGATAACCACAGCAAAAGGAATGCAACGGACGAAAATAATCGTTATCGTGGCTTTCTGATTGGCACTGATGTTCGTGGTGCAACCTTGCACTTTTTTCAACCGTGTTGTCACCCTTCGGTCATTTCATATTTTATTTCGATAACCTTATTTTTTTTGTTTTTGAATGGGAAAACGTTTGGATCGATTGGAGCCGTCTGGTCTGGCCCTTGACCTCGGTTTATCAGATCCTAAAATGGTCAAAATAGCCCTTGGCTCCGATTCGTCTGATCTAATCAATCATCGTCGGGTGCCCGGGGGGCGGGGTACGATCTGATTCACACGCCATCAAATTATGGTGCACGACACCCAGTCTGTGCAGTACATATCCTTCTATTTATAGGTACACAACGGCAGGCAGTCAGACTACATCGTCGACGTCATGACCTAGACAATGTCAAATGCGGTTACATAGAGAGGTATTTATTTTTTTCAGCGCTCTCTTCTTCGCGTATCCCCAAAAAAGGAGCTAAATATTAAATCCACACAGACAGCCCGGTCTGCATCGACGTCATCCCTTGAGTTGCCGCTATTTACTGAAACCTGCTAATGTGACTTGAATGAAATACTGAGTTTGTTAAATTAATTTCTGATTATTTCAGATTTCTGCCAGTTGATTAAATATCTGTAACAAGTACCATAGGTCTACCATAAAGGTCACAAAGATAGTCTCTTATCTCTCTCTCTGATTAGTCTACTCCACTTGATTGAAACAAAAAGATACATAACATCAATCCAACCATAATCCACAATCTCTCGCCACTCGTCTGATTAAAATTAATTAAAACCTGCCATCGACCCGAGGAGCACCCTCCACCAAAGCCAGACTGTCTGCAAAAGAAGCTTTATAAGTTCTAAATATTGCTCCCCACCCCCATCAACCAAAACAGCGAATCAGAATCACCATCAGCATTTCGCAAAACTGCACACCTTACATATTCGTAACAACCCAGCAACGTGACGGCGACGGCGACGACGATGACTTGAACATCATTTGGGTTCTCTTTGTCCTAGCCCAACAAAGCACAGAAACCCCCAAAAAATAAAGTACCGACGACTCTCGAAACGGGGACACCCGACCAGCCCGACCAGTTATCGGAACGCTTTCTTCGTTCGGTTCGTTTTTTTCTCGTGGGCAACCAATTACGGCAAATTCGTTTGCTAGTCATCAACCTCGATTCCAGCTCAAGGGAAGGTTCGTTCACCGGCGGCGACGGTCCCGCGGTGGCTGCCAGAACCCGAATCCGTGCCAGACGTGTTAACTTTTTCTTCTTTCGCTCTCTCGGAGGGGTGGACAGAAAATATGTAACTAGATCACCCTACCTCAACGTGCGCCACTTTTGCAGCCAGCGAAGAGTGAATGCGTCCTGTCGTGTCGGGGTTGGCTGGTCTTCGAGGTGAGTTTTTATTGCCACTTGGAAAACAAATTATGATTCAAGTATTTCAGCGAATCGTTGAAACTTTTGATTCATGATTGTATAATGAAGTGTCGATTTTACTAGCAGCGAAAGTATGCTCCATATGCTCGCGAGCTGAATGAGTAACTTTTTGCGAAGATTGAATTCCACGAAGTCCACGCAGCATTGGCACTTCTGATGGGGTTGGCAGCTCCCCGGAAGAATCACGTAGTCCTCTAGAAGGGGTCCAGTAAAATGTGTATTGTGCTGCTTGAATCCGACTAAATTTAATTTAAAATCTTCACTCCATATTGCGGTTGTAGAACATTTCTCAGAACTAGGACTTGATATACTGAGGAAGTCTACCCAATTTCTGATTGGTCATGTTTACGATTTCGGATTTATTGAGCCAAAATTTAAAAATGTTAATTGATGCAAATATCTTGAATGTACAGAAAATAATGACTAGAATATGTGTCTTGAACTTAGGCATTAGATAAGATAGTAGTAGATAATATTAGCCAGTTGTTTTATTTAAATAGTGCTGTTAAGTTTAGTTTCTTAAACAGGAGCAAAAACACGTCGTCAGATTAATATTCTACTGGCATCGACATTTTCACCAAGGTTTTATTTGTCACACAAAAGTTTGAGAAAAGAGAACATCTACGGAATGACCACTACCTGGGTTATGTCTACCTTATAATTAGATAGAGCTGGAATTAGGGCGTAACAGCCTTTGTAAACAATGAGACTTCTATCGATGATTTTTAGGAACTCAAGGCACGCCTACGCAAACCAACATAAACGTCGGGTAGGGGAAGTCTTCCCCTACCGGATGGTGTTGTTGATCTGCGTTGGCGAGCATTATCTCTCTAGAAATCATCGAAAGAAGTCATTGTTTACAAAAACTGTTCCGCCCTAATTCCAACTCTATCTAGATATCACCATTCGTTCCAATGGACTGGATGATGAACTTGTATTATTGATTGGTTCAATAGCAACTACAACTCTGAGTGGGTTTATGGGGAACCGCAAGCATGTCGAGGCTACAAAACCGTTGCGTGAAAGTCACCGCACCTATACCCAACGGAACAGCTGTACAATGACCTGCAGAACTCTTACTTACCTTATCAATCAGGCTAAGGCCTTGTTGTTCTCTGCTGTCCGAAGAAGTCGTCTCCACTCTACTCGATCCATGACCACAGTTCGCCAGCCTCGTAGTCTGCGAAAGGTCCGCACGTCACCTTCTACTTGGTCGATCCACCTTGCCCGCTGCGCGCCTCTTCTTCTTGTTCCTGTTGGGTCGCTTTCTAGAACCATTTTCACTGGGTCGTCGTGCGGCATTCTTACGACGTGCCCAGCCCACCGTAGTCGCCTAATTTTTGCAATGTGGACGATGGATGGTTCTCCCAGCAGTTGGTGCAATTCGTGGTTCATTCGCCTTCTCCACGTTCCGCAATCCATCTGCACTCCACCGTAGATGGTACGCAACACCTTCCGTTCGAAAACACCAAGGGCGCGTTGGTCCTCCACGAGCATAGTCCAGGTCTCGTAGCCATAGAGCACCACCGGTCTAATCAGCGTCTTGTAGACAGTCAACTTCGTGCGGCGGCGAATTTTATTCGACCGGAGCGTCCTCCGGAGTCCAAAGTAGGCACGATTCCCTGCCATAATGCGTCTTTGAATTTCTCTGCTGGTATCATTTTCGGCGGTCATCAGTGAGCCCAAATACACGAACTCATCGACCACCTCGATTTCGTCACCGTCAATCTGAGCTCGGGGTGGGAGGCTAACATTGTTTTCCCTAGAACCTCTTCCTTTCATGTATTTTGTCTTTGTTGCGTTGATGGCAAGTCCAATCCGCCTAGCTTCAGCCTTCAGTCTGATGTACGTTCCCGCCATCATCTCAAAGTTCCGTGCCATAATGTCAATCGGTGAAACCAAGGAGCTGGATGGACTTCCTGACTATCGTGCCACTCGTGTCTATCCCAGCTCTTCTGATCACACCTTCTAACGTGATGTTGAGTAGCAAACACGAAAGTCCATCACCTTGCCGTAACCCCCTTCGAGATTCAAAGAGACTCGAGAGTGTCCCCGATACTCGAACAACGCACATCACTCGATCCATCGTCGCCTTGACCAATCGCGTCAGTTTATCCGGAAATCCGTACTCGTGCATAATCCGCCATAGCTGATCTGGATCGATTGTGTCGTATGCGGATTTGAAATCGATGAACAAATGATGTGTGGGCACGTTGTAGTCGCGGCATTTCTGCAGAACCTGCCGAATCGTGAAAATTTGGTCCGTGGTAGCGCGGGCACTCATGAATCCCGCCTGGTATTGCTCCACGAACTCTCTTGCAAATGGTGACAGACGACGGCATAGAATTTGGGAGAGTACCTTGAAGCCGGCGCTCAGCAGTGTGATCGCGCGGTAGTTGCAGCAATCCAACTTGTCGCCCTTTTTGTAGATTGGGCATACGACACCTTCCATCCACTCCTCCGGTAATATCTCCTCCTCCCAAATCTTGGCAATTACCCAGTGCAGCGCTCTAGCCAGTGCTTCACCACCGTATTTCAATAGCTCACTTGGTAGTTGATCTACACCAGTTGCTTTGTTGTTCTTCAGCCGACCGATCTCCTCCTCAACTTCTTGAAGATCAGGGGCCGGTAGCCTGTCGTCTTCTGCGCGTGCTCGAAGGTCTGTTGCCGTGCCACCTTCGTTTTCTGCTGCTTCACCGTTGAGGTGCTCGTCATAGTACTGCTTCCACCTCTCAATCACCTCACACTCGTTCGTGAGAAGGTTACCGTCCAAGTCCTTGCACATATCGGCTTGCGGCACGTAGCCTTTGCGCGAACTATTTAGCTTCTCGTAGAACTTCCGTGTGTCGTTTACGCGGTACAGATTTTCCATCGTCTCGCGATCTCGGTTTTCCTGCTGACGCTTCTTCCTTCGGAAAACCGAATTTTGTCTGTTCCGCGCTTGTCTGTATCGCTCCACATTCAATCTCGTGCGGTGTTGCAGCATTCTCGCCCGTGCTGCATTCTTCTCCTCTACTAACAGTTTGCATTCGCCGTCAAACCAGTCATTCGGTCCGGGAT